TTCGGGGTTGACCCTGCATTTTCCACCGACGCACAGACCGTACAGCTAGGTTTGCGCTTTTTTTCAGAGTTCTCAAAACTGTTGCTGAGCAAGCGGATATCAAGGGATAGGGAGGGACGACGGAGGAGCACGGCAAAAACCAAGCAAATTAACAGTGTAAAGCTTTATTCCGATATCTCAAAGTCATCGATCCTCCGTTTTCCTAAAGAACTGAGCGACCCCTTCGCTGGGATTCCCCTTCGTGCGACTGATCCTTGCGTAGTGCGGCTGAACGTTGTCGTGAAAGCCGTTTTGGTGACGTCACAGTTTCCCTTCCCCCCCCTGCAGTAACATCAGCAACGATCATCTTCTCTTCCATAGCTGATTGGTAACACCAGCCCCCACTCTACATAGTTGGAACGTCGCAGTCTGCCGTCAGCTGTCAACGTGAACTATCTTCGTCCTCCGGCTCAGGGATCCGTTCTGAACCCGCTTGTCTGTTTTCTACTCGCATGGATGGCGAGATAGCCTCGGAAGGCAACGAGGGTTGCCTTTTGAGGCTATCGCGCCTTTTTATAACAAAGTCATGTGCGCACCTGTGATTTTAGTCGCTCATATTTCACACACATTTGAAGTTAAAAAGGAACTTCAAAATCAAAATGAGGCGATAGATGAGGTGTCAGAAAGCGTCTCCCAAAGTATCATAACACCACTGCCACAAGATAAACGGCGACTGAGGAAAAGAAAAGTGTAAAGAGCACATCCCGGCATCGTAAAGAATTGTAACCGTATAACTCTATGTCAATCACCTATCTGGATTTTTCTTCATCCTAATCACATGAGCAGTCCCTTCGTAGACAGCATTTCGCGATATTTGTTCTGTACGTTACTTTATGAGCGTTCAACTATTGCAAAAGCGATCGCGCAACTTCCGTAAATCAAGGATGAAACCTTCTTTTCTGCTCGCAACTGGTAACATGAAACCAGAGGGTCTGTGATACGGAGGTAAAATTTTCATAAAAGAAAACCGCGGCTATTGCAGTTAGTCAATGAAAGGTACTACGTTCAGTCATTAGAAGAATATGTTGCTAGAAGTCGGTTAGGAGAGACGCGTAGGCGTCCTAAATATTGCAAGGGTTTGCATTGCTTTCATATAATCGAATGATCAAAAACTGTACTTCAGCTGAACAAACCAGGTGAAAAAGACTACGAGTGTGCTGCGGCGCATGTGTCGGAGTGGAGAAACATCCACGAGAATGTTGGCTTGCACTGATGTTTATGAAAAAA